ATCACCCCATGAAATCAAAACAGTAAAAATAGAAAGAGGCCAAAAATTTAAAAAAAAATAATAACATGGGCTGCAGTTTATGAAATGGTCCAAAAGAGATCTGCTCTCTTGGTGCTTTTTAAGCTGGAGCGCACCTGTGTGCTGCTGTTTTTCAGTTCATTCTGTGGTTTCCCTCACACTAGGCTGAAGGCTGTCATGTATGTAGATTGGTCCCTCACTACCGTGCTTGTCAATACGTAACATACTCTATTTTGTTAAATAGTTGATCAATATCGAAGGTGAAGTAGTATTCACCTTCATAAACAGCACCGCCTCATAGAGCTTCTCATTTGAACAGATCATGTAGCATCCCAATGCTTGGTTCATATTGACCTACCCAACAGAGTTAACATATTGAATCAAAACTATGGGAGAGATACTGGAGATAAAATGCTCTAGCGTCTCTCCAGTTAGATTTGCTTCTCTGTGTTCAACATCTGCTTAGTTTGGGGGAATTTTTTGAACTATTTTTTTTCTTCTCATTTCTCGTCTTTCTTTATTTAGCATATGTTTTTAATATAATAGTTCCTCTAATAGTCATACTTGTTCTTTTATTGTATGTTTATTTGCATTTTGTGAGCTAGATAATACATGTTTGATGTCAAGAATGGGTACATACAAGTACATGTTACTTTTCTGCATAATATGTTTTCATTTAAGCAAATGTTTAACACAGTGATAAAGAAGGAAGAACATTGGAAGTCTTCTCTTCAGTGCTACTAAGAGTCTGAAGTCAGTGAAGAATGTCTTTTTAGTCTTGGTGGAGAATGGTACAACACTCGGTTACTATTTGTGAGGCTCTGGGTTCAAATCCCAGCACCACAAAAGGAAAACAGAAGTTTTTTTTTTTACATCATATTTGGTCTACTATTATGAATGGTTTAAACATGAAAAAAATTGATCAAGTCAGGAGACATTCAGAACCAAGCACTTCCTTCAAAAAATCATGTGTACCGCCATTGGTGAATGAAAAATCAGATTGGCAGTTTATATGTAAGAGAAGAGCAGTTATCATGTTAACACCTCTCTTATGATGGGACCCCCAAACAAATGCAGTCAGTGTGCTGGGCATCTGATTGTTTTAAGGGAAAAGGGGTAACTTCTCAGCACTAAACCGTGGAAGTTTGATTATTGTTTTAGGCTTTTCATGTTTACTACAAATCTGCCTTTTGAGAAGCATGACAAAACTTGGTGGACACTTTATAAAAAAAATTAATAAAAGAGTTAGTTAGGAACTTGAGAGTAGCATAGCAGGATAGATCCCCTGGGAGATGACCTGAGATTCCGATAAAGACGGGCTGGGACAATGCTGAAGCGTTCAAAATTCCTTCCTTAGACATATTGAAATTCCCTTTTAAAATTGTTTTCTCTGCATCTCTTCTTCTTATATTTTTCGAGAAGGCGGTGTGACTATGCATCAGAACCAGTAGGATTTCATTAGAACATGCTTCCGAACTGGCTGTAATAACCAGTGCTCTGAATGTTTCTATGCCCACCCCCGCCACCTTTTCCAGCTACTTCATATTTCAGTTTTCCCCAACACTGTAAGCACTCCATACCATCTAAGGCCACTTGTTCACATTCCACCTTAACATTTCTCCGGGCTCTCTACCCCTGTACCTGCCGTCACTCATATCGGACCAGCCGCCTCCTGTCATTTCCTTAAAGATGGGTGGACTCCCAGTAACAACTTGCTTGTACACACATCAGTTAGTCTCTCTCTCTCTCTCTCTCTCTCTCTCTCTCTCTCTCTCTCTCTCCCCACCCCTTACTTTCTCACACAGTCTCTTTCTCCTTCTTTCTCTCTCTCTCCCACACAGTACTGTACGTATTTATGTAGCTCATCTCTAGCAGACTCGCAGCTCCTTGAGGGAAGGAACAATGACTTGCTCACTGTGTAACCCTCCATCACGGAAAGCAGGCCCAGCAAGTGGAAGACGTTTACAGATTTGAGGAGGTCATGGGAGGATGTTTGTCTTATTCTGTGCCTTACTTACTTAGCTGTAGTTTCTGTTATTTTAAAATACATTTCTCTAAAATCTAAGGCAAAAGATAATAATAATCATTTGCTCGCGTTAGTTATATTTAACATTTCTCAGTACATATGGAGAATGTGTATCTCCGTTTGTTATTAAAAAATAATGTAGAATACTGATTCTAAGGAATGTTGCCAACAAACCACTGATTTTATTTAGTATGTGTGATTATAAATAAATGCATTTTGATGGTTGTCAGAGAAACACATTTATATAGGAGAATGTTATCAACTGTCTCTAGGTATAAAGAAATATTGAAACAATGTTAGGTATAAAAATTCTCTAGTTTCCTTTGAACAGTTCACATGGAGAAAAATTTAATCTAGAATGTAGACTAAACTCTTAAGATATTTAAAGTAAAAACTTCAGAATTGTGAGGATGCAAAAATCATATACTAAATGTTAACAGTACCTGCTTTTGTAACTTAAATTTTTAGAAATTTATTTGTGTGGGGGCTATGGTGTACATGTATAGTGAGTGCACATCAACATGAAGGTATATGCACCTGTGTATTTGCACATGAGGCCAGAAGAGGACATCAGATGTCTTCTATTGTTCTGTCTTAATGCCTTGAGACAGGGTCTCTCTGAACCCAGATGCAGCTTCAGTTACGCTGGCTGGTAAATGAGCTCTCAGGAGCTCCATTTCTACCTTGCAGCTGGGGGGCTACTGGTGCATGTGGCCATGCCTGACTTTTAACTGTATGGCATGGATTTGAACTTAGTTTTTCATTCTTGCAATGCAAGAGCCCTGACACATCTCCTCACTCTTATTTTTTGTAGTTCTTAAGGTACTGTATTTATCTTGACTTGTTTGTATTAAGATGTAGATGTAGATTCTCTGGATACATAGATACTCAATACATTCTGGACACTTTCAAAAAATCATGGTCTATTAATAAATCTTTATGGAAATGTATTACATCCCCAATAGCCTATTTGAGAACTTTGTGAGGTGAATGAGGCCATCTGAGCTACTTTGCAAATGTGGCCTGAGCTAACTCCACACACATTTTAGTGCCATTCATTATGATTTTTCCCCTCAGCTAAGAACTTCAAGGCTTTTTGTTGGCTTATAGATATGCAGTTATTATTCTACCAAAGAGAGGTTTGCAAAATCCAATTCCATCAAAACATCTTCTGATTTTTTTTTAGCCCTTTTCTTTGAATAAGCCCAAACCATCAATATTCAAATCCACAGGTCTCATTTGAACCAATTTCAATCTGGCCATAACCATAACACTTTCTTGCATATTCAATATTGGGCTAAAATTTGATAGGCATTAGGTGGACTTCACTGTTTGGGTGACTTGGCAATTGTAGATCAAGAGAACAAGTTGAAGTAAGAGTGTGTGTGTCTCCTGGTGGGGGATGGAGGTTGGGGGTTGAGGAGGTAGTTGGGAGAACTGCTGAAGGAGATGAACACAGTATTATTGCTTTACTAGGTTCCAAGTTTATCTTTGCTTGTCTAGAGGTTTCCTGTCCTCAGCACTGAACTGGTGAATAGCATCAGTAAAGGGATTTGTCAGACCCAGGGTGGAATCGGGAGTTATATAGGAAAATAGTAATGCACCCTAGGAAAATAAATAAGGATCGGTCCAGGAAACCTAGCTGAAACAGCTGCTCTGGTAAGATGTGAATAATAAAATTCCTATTCATATTTTGCCATAAATAGAGGTTTGGGAATTTGTCATTCACCGCATTTCAAATTCAGAAATATTAAAGGTACAGGTTCTCTCATTACGGAAATAATAGAATTCCAGCTATTACCGAGTTAGGGTCATTTAAATGGATATAGCATGCATTATATCAGTAAGTGGAACATCTGTATGGAATGTCCACCTGCTGATCAGTCCGTGCACAATTCAGTGAACAGCACTTAATCATCTTAAGACTTCTTCTAATGAAGCCTTATCTAGATTAACATTTTAAGCACAAATACTTTCAGGCATTAAAACCCTCACACTAAATGAAATTGCATTGTCTTGTTTACCCTTGTTGATTAATAAGCAATCTGCTAACTGTTGGAACAGTCCAATTGTGGCAGTAGAAGGAGATTAGTAATTCAGTGATGTTTGTGGGTATAATCATCATTTCTCCTGAAGGCTTTGAATTAGAATATCACTTACACACTATCCGTAGGCAAAGAAAGGATATAATATTTTTAGACATGTGTACCCACTATTTTGTTTCAATCGTTCAGCTTAGGGTCAGCGCAGCAATACAAATGCTTTGGAGAGGCAAAATGCTATTTTGATGCATGCATATCCTTTTTAAATGGTGTGGGTGTCTATTAAAAGAAACAGAACAACCAGCAAATTGTATAGTAATAAGCCAGTAGCTTGATTTCTGTTTTAGGAATATTATTGCTTTGTTAATCAAGCATTGGAAGAGAAATATTGCCCACTGTTTTTTAGATAATAGAGTTTACATATGAAAATTCTTTGTAGTATTATTTATTTTTGCCAATAAAATACTGAACTTTTTCCCTCCAAAGAGTCTAGGGATAAACTTGGAAGAATAATTACATTTTGGGGGAGGATTTTCTATTTGTAGTTCTGTTTCCTTTGACCTTGAACCTACAACCTTAATTTGTTTGTCTACAATTCATATGACCTGAGAGATCTTTTTCCCCCATGTGAGAAGCTGTTAATACCTGGGTGTCAAGGCAAGATCTTCCATTTTGGAAACATAAATCAGTGGAAAGAGAAATAGGAAACAGAGGCTCCTAAATTCCCTAGCATTCATCAGCTATGTATTGGAGGCCACTAATCCCAAGGAAACTGTGGGTCCATTCTTCTCGCCCTAGTGTTCGGAGCTGAGCATAGCCCTACAATGTGAAATTATGGTGGAAGTGGTTATCTCAGCTTCTCATGAGAGTCAGTCCTACAAACACATACAAACTGGTCTTTTTCTGCATTGCAGTCCCTCTGTCATGAGATCAAGCAGCGTCGCAGAGGGGTGGCCTCCATTCTGCGGTTGTGCCAACATCTTCTGGATGACCGGGACACCTGCAATCTCAATGCGGACCACCAGCCCATGCAGCTGATCATTGTAAACCTTGAAAGAAGGTGGGAAGCCATTGTCATGCAAGCCGTCCAGTGGCAAACACGGCTCCAGAAGAAGATGGGCCAAGAATCCGTGAGTGTCGTTCCCCAGCAGAATTGGCTCTTTTTTGACTCCCCCCTAGGCTTCGACAGCATGTCCATCACATCAGCTTCCTTGCAAACTAGAGGAATAACCATTCATTAACCCAAACTCCGTTCATCCATAAGAGAAAGTTACTCACTTTACTGACATGCATTTCAGGGCATCTCATTGTCTTTTTAAAACGTCCCACATCTATTTTGGTTACCCTTACCACCGAGGCTATTGATTCTTTCATTTATTCTTTCTCCAAACATATTCACCAAGCACACAATGCTCCACAGATATTTTGCTAAGAGGTAGCTTAATACCCCGAGTGCCTGGAGCAGTGTGTGTGCTCTGTGTACAGTTTCGTTGCTTGACTATCTATTGTCTATCTTTCCATTGAGTGAGGAGTTAAGGCCATCTGCACACCTGTCCCCATCGGTCCAGATTACTGAGGACTGTCACGTTTCCTCCTACAGTTTAGCGCAGTGCTCATAGTAGGGGGCGGTGGTTCCCATTAACAATTTGCCGGATCTGAGAGGGCAGGTTTCCGCAGTTACTGGGAGAAAGAAATATGTCAGAGTAGAAGCTGGTTTATTATAGAATACACATTTGCTCTGAGAGCCTTCACCTTCTTAGGAGAACGAAACTGTCACTGAAAAGAGTATATCCCCGAAGTGACCTTGACATCAGTGCCTATTAGTGGTAGGGCCACTTTTCACATTTGACCTATGTCAGTGATATATATATATATATATATCTCCAGTTCTACATACTTGGAAAGTTCAGCATGCAAAGAAGGGAACCCAAATGTAAAATTCTTGTCATTGAAAATAGTTTCCACATTCGAATTCTATTCTTACCAAAGCCTTAGGATTGACTTTTCTGGTATGTTTTCTGTTGGGGTCTCGGCAGGAAGGCATTGAATCATTAAACCTACCTGCCTGTTTTGCCTTTGTGGCTGTGCTCACTCCAGGAAGCGATTTCTCTCAATAGTTCTATTCAATTGATCTTAGCTGAAGTTGTTACATTTCTTTTTCTTTCTTTCTTTCTTTTTTTTTTTTTTTTTTTTTTGGTTTTTCGAGACAGGGTTTCTCTGTGTGGTTTTGCGCCTTTCCTGGAACTCACTCTGTAGCCCAGGCTGGCCTCGAACTCACAGAGATCCACCTGCCTCTGCCTTCCAAGTGCTGGGATTAAAGGTATGCACCACCGCCGACCGGCAATTTCTTAAGACTTCCAAATTATTATTACTAATCAGAGGCAATATAATGGGGTGTCTTTCTTTCTTTCTTTCCTCTTTTTCCCCCCCATTTTTGAGACAGGGTTTCACTGTGTAGTCTGGCTCTCCTGGAACTCACTATGCAAACCAGGCTGGCCTCGAACTCATTGAGATCCGCCTTCCTCTGCCTCTTGAGTGCTGGGATTAAAATTGTGCACCACCACCACCCGGCAGAGTGTCTTTTATTGTGAAACTGTTTATCTAACATCTTTTCTCCTCCCTCCCTCCCTCCCTCCCTCCCTCCCTCCCTCCCTCCCTCCCTCCCTCTTTCCTCCTCCTCCTCTTCTTTGAAAATGTGTGTAAAGGTAAAAAAACATTGTTATCCTTTCTGTACTTTGTGGCGATGATGGTGAGACTTAGGTCAGCACCGTTCCCAGTCGGAAAAGTTACAGCAATCTTAGAGCCTTCAACTGGTTTGGCAAAGACAAAACTGATTCCCTTTCAGGATTTATTTGAATCATATGATCAGGAATGCTGGATTGGGCTTTACAAAGTAGATGTAGGGAATGGATGTTTGCTTGTGTGTGTGTGTGTGTGTGTGTGTGTGTGTGTGTGGTCACAGGTTCCCATGTGTGATATATGAGAGTTTGGGCATGTATGTATTCAGGTAAGCATGCCCCCGTGGGGAGGCCAGAAAGGGACGAACCCTTCTCTGTCACTCTCTTTTTCCCTTGATACAGGGTCTCACAGACTCTGGAGCTAAGCTGGCAATCGGCAAGTGCCAGCGAGCCTTCTGTTTCTACCCCTCATAGTACTGGGGTTCTAGGCCTGCTGCACTGTTACATGTGTGCTGGGGATCTGAACTCTGGTCCTCTGGCTTGCACAGAGAACACTCTCCTATCTGCTGAGCCATTTCCCAGTCTTCTGGGTTGCTTTACCTATGTCTGTAGTAAAGGCAACTTGCTTCTTGGAAGCTTGAGCTACTGGAGAGATGTTATATAAATTGCAGAGAGAAGTCTGTCCTAATTAGGTAATTTGGAATGATGAAGGTAGCAAATAAGGATGTTTGTGATAAAAACAGGCTGAAAGTCGCTCTCAGGGAAGGAGTGGAGGGATGGAGAGTGGACCGAGGCTAACAATGCAGTGAATGGTGAACGCAGAGATTGTTTTGTTGAGACTGTTTCTTTGCTTCTGGGCCCTGCTGTTGAGTGAGGAGTAGAAGTTGCTTTTATGATCACATAAGTATTTCAATGATGTAGGAGGTGACCTTTGCCAAGAGTCAAAGGTCTACAATGGCCTGTTGGCTGGTACATCGTGCGCCTCCACCCCTCCCCGTCTCCTGATTATGCACAGGGATTTCTACTGCTGTATTTCCAAGACTTGCAACATATTTTGCATATATAAGCTCTTGATGAATATTTGCTGAATAACTGAGTACAGGATTTTTTTTAGTCAATTTTTTTTATTCAGGCATTGGTATAACTATATACTATACCTATGCTGATTGTAAGTTTTCACCATTTTACAAAAGAAGTCATCATACTTCTGAGTCATTATGCTTTAGGAATCATATTTCTATAATAATACTTTTCTAATAACACCCAGAAGATACATTTTAACATTCTTTTCTTATCTAATAAGGCTTTCTCGGGCTCGTTGGTCCATTTTCTCAGTTCAAGGACATTTCCAGGCTCTGCATGGAATCTGGTGAAGCCAATGTGGCTAATTTTCTGGAAGTCTTCAGTGTGACAGGGAGCAGAGGGCTCCACAGTCAGGAATCTCTAGAGCTAAACAGAGTTATCTTCTGAGTTCTTCAACAGAAGGTACACACCGAAAAAAAAAATTGAAGAGAACAATTTGTGGAACTTCTAAGAAATTAGAAATATCTTCTTTCTGTTCAATCACATTAGAAAAATGTCACTAACAGTGTGATAGTTCATCTCAGTTGTGAAGTGGATGGGATCTAACATCACCTGGGAGACTGTCCTCTGGGCATACTCTCCCCTCCCCCCAAAGACAGGATTTCTCTGTATAGTCCTAGTTGTTCCTGAACTCATTTTGTACACCAGACTGGATTCAGACTCAGAGATTCTCCTGCCTCTGCCTCCTGTGTACTGGGATTAAAGGCTTGTGCCACCACTACCAGGCCTCTGGGCATCCTTCGAGGAAGTATCTTGATTAGGTTAACTGCGGTGGGAGGATCTACCCACTGTGGGTGGCACCATTCCCTAGGCTGGGATCTTGGACTTCATAAAAAGGATAAGGGGAGCTAGCTGAGCACTAGCATGGCTCTCTGTTTTTTGACTTTGGACACAATGAGATCATCCACCTCAAGCTCCTACTGCCACGGCTTCCCTGTGCTCATGGGCTGTATTCTCAGACCGTGAGCCAGAGTCAACTCTTTTCCCCTTCAGTTGCTTTTGTCAGGGTTTTTGTGGTAACAACAAGAAAACTAGCTAATGCAGACCAGACCAAACTGATAAAGCCCAGTGGTGGGACAGGATCTTCAAAGCAGCTAGAGGAGGAACGAGGATCATTTCGAGAAGAGTGACTGCCAGGTTTTTATCAGAAACAAGGGAAGTCAGGAGATGGGAAAGGTGGAGCTGGAGGTCAAGCAGCAATGTAAGAAAATAACCTAGAGTTCCCTTCGCAGAGCAAATGGCATTCCAATAGGGGAAGAAAAGTAGTTTCTAAACATCTACAGTGGAAGTTCCCCGCCAGCATAACAGTACTACTAGAAATGTTAAGGGGAGGCCATCAACCACACACAGCTTACAGCCAATAGAAACCTAGATATGCAAAGGAATAAAGAACATGAGAATTATAACTGTGAGTAAATGAGAAACTCTTTCCCTATTATTTCAATCTCTCTAAGTGTATTAATAGACTGTTTAAATCAAGATAATAGCAGTGCCTGGTACGATTTATAGCCCAGAGGATAAAATGTACAACAACAGTATCCCAAAGGCCAGGAAGCAGACATGCCTTGATGCTTTGTACCGTTTTTATTTTATGTGAGGCACTAGGGCATCCTTTAAAGGGAGGCTGTGATAAGATCAAGTGTGTATATGCGGTTGTACCACCTTAAAGATGCAGCAAACAAAAAGCTAGAGCAGGACACAAAAGGAAACAAAGTAAGCCCATCTTTCATATCCCCATTTAAAGGAGAAAAGGAAAATAGGAAACAGATGTGATCGGGTTTTTAAAGACAAGATGAAGATTTAACATGGCTGCACCAATAGTCCCAGTGAATGAAATGGACTAAAAACTACTCAAAAGAACGTAATTGTTAAATTGGGTAAATTCAACCATACACTGCCTACCAAATAGTAGTAGAGTGTACATATTAATATTAAACAAAGTAAATGTCATAGCAAAAAACACCACAAGATATAAAGAAGGACATTTCTTCTCAATGGGAGTTCCAATTTACCATGAGAAGAAGACATTTCTAAGTGTCTAGGACAACTTACGAATATACCACATAGAAAACCTATTCCCGTGAAGAGACAAGAAAAACAGAGTATGGGAGAGAAATTTCAACACCCCGTCTCAATAACTGATAGACCAGAGAATCAATATGAACGTAAAAGGACATGGATGTTATTGTAAAGCCACATGACCTAATTGACATCTAAAACACTTCAACCAACTTTTACCAAAAAGGCAAGAGGATACAGACAAAAGCTCTCCCACTCACTACTGTGGGAAGTCGATTGCTGCAACTGTGGGAAATGATATGAAAGTTCTACACTAGAATTTTTGTATGACCCCACAGTTTCTATTCTGAGTATGTGCCATCCCCTCATTAAGGTACCTGTATACTCATATTCTTCACAACATTATCCACCATAGCCAAGATACAGAAACTGAGATCTGAGATCATTCCCGGTGAATGAATAAAAAAATAAGTTGTACTGTGTATATTCATCCTGTATATGGAGAGTCAGACATTTACAGCAACAGAGGGAAAACTAGAGGCCATCATATGACATTAAATAAGTGGAGACCACAAGAAAAATAGTGGGCGATCTTATTTGTGTGTGGAATCTTAAAGTTGCAGCAGAGAAAACAAGCAAATATATAGAAACAGAGCAGAATGGTGATTACAGGGACAGGAGACTGGGACAGTGGAAAGAGGTCCATCAAAGAATGCAAAGTTTCAATTATGGTAGAGTGAATAATCTAGAGATGTAATGTATAAAAGCATAAATACAGTTAATAATATTGCCTTTCCTACAAGAAATGTATTAAGAGAGTAAGTTTTTGGCATCCTTACCACACACATACACAAAAGAAACTCTGAGATTATGGATATGCATATTTTATTGACTATAGTATTCAGTGCACCATTTGCATATCAAAGCATGGTGATAATCTTATATATACAACAAAAATGGGTGAGCATGTCATCCAATAGCAACAAAGATGACAGTATTTTTAAGTATATACAGAACATATATCAAAACTATCCTGAGTCACAAAAAGTGTTTTAAAAGAATGTCTATTATACAAAGCATAGCCAAGGTTCCCGAGAATAGTGTAATCACATTCGCTTAACCAAAAGTGTGCTCTTTGTCTATCATAGGATTTTAGTTTAGAAATACTTCATAGAAATGGACCTGAACATTCTTCATTAAATGTAAAGTAACATGCTTAAAGTTTCTGCCACATCCTTGCTTATTGCTTGGAAGAAAAGCCCTCCTTGGTTTTCCAGTCCAGTGTTATACCTATTTAGAGATAGCAGGCCAAGCAAGGAGAGAAACAAAGCCAGAATTTTTCTACCACTTTGAGCTGTTCAAGGATGCCATTTCAGAAAAGTAAAGCTGGAGAAGATGCAGGTATCATTTCAGAATGGCCTGGCAGAATGCTGCGTCATCGTGGCCACTGGTCATTTCCAGATTTGCACCAAGATTTTTGAGGCGAATGTTTGGGAGTTGTTTGTGACCACCGAGGATACATTTGGCTTTGAAATGAAACAACCCAGAATGAATAAGCTACCCCATACACAAATCTTCCCACCAATGCCTATAGTGTTCCCGCTGGGAAACACTTCATTCTGTCAAGATTCAGACTACTCTTACCTTCATGTTCATTCTGAGGACAGATCTCTTAAAATATGCATCTGAAAGACATTCAAAACAGCTTTGCGTAGCCTTGCTAAGAGGCCCAAAGCTTTATCTACAGTGCAAGACAACTTTTGTCTATAAAAGAGGTTATGAATTCAGGAGGGCGTGGAGACACGTGAGAAGTGGGCGGAGGGAGAGGAAGGTCAGGGAATGATGTCAAAACAGTGTACTTGTGTGATGAATTAAGAAACTAAAATCAATTAAATATTTAAGGGGGGAGGGAGGGAGAGAGAGACAGACAGACAGAGAGAACTTGTCTTTCCGTGCATGGTCGTGCAGGCCTATTAAACTAGCCCTCCAGAGGCCAAGATGGGAGAACTGTGGCCTGAGCTATACAGTACATTCCAGGCCAGCCTGTGCTTCTTGGTGAGATCTTGTCTGAAAACAAACAAACAAAAAGTAAAAGTATTGGAAAAGATAGAAGAAATTAGTATTTTGCATCTGTTTTCCTATCAGTTTTACCTGTTATGAGATCTCTGTTTTAGTAGGCACAGTAGTTGTCTAATAGTATAAACCATTCTTGCTTTTCAAAGACATGTTTAAACAGAAATAACCTAGGTTCCTTTGAAATGCCTTGTTTCAAGCAAGTGCACCTTTGAATTCTTAGTGAATCAAGGGCTTGAGGTTTTATCTTCACATACACGGTTTTCTCCCTTCTGCTCTGATCCTGCAGAGCTCTCCTGAGAATAGAACTTTGCGTCCAGAAAAACCATACACATTTAATGGCCTTGAAAGTATACAACACATCTAGCCACATAATTGAAAATAATAAGGCCACAATAAATGGGATGGCCCCAGGGTAAAACACCCAAGGGATTCAATTGGTGTCACTTTGCATCAATGTCCATGCATCATGGTAATTGAGGTAACATAACCAATTACCACATTTTAATTAGAGTTCTAAGAACTTGAGAAAAATTGCAATGATGAGCCAGCTCACTTTTTAAAAAGGAAAGAAAGAATGAAATAAAAGGGAAGGAACCTGATACGTTACATTGCTCAGGCTCCTTACAAGGGGTGTTATAGAAAGCCATTTTCTCTCTCTCTCTCTCTCTCTCTCTCTCTCTCTCTCTCTTTCTTTCTCTCTGAATACTTTTTCACTTTCTCTGTATTACTATTGGTGATGTATTTTGAAAACTAAGAACTTTTAAAAGCTATTTTTAACTTAAGTAATAGTGTCCTCACCCTGATCTAATGATTTTACAACTTTATGACAGAAGACTTTCTTTAGAATGCCATCTCAGCTTATAATTTCATTTCCCGTCTAGGAGTTTCTCACATTGTAACCTGAAGCATCATCCTGAGTGTTTAAATTGGTATCTGAACATAGTGACATATTAATAAAGTATACATTTCTCTGGCTCTGGTCATTAAACAAAAATAGACTTCGATTCCACCCCCATGAGCAAAAATTAAATGCAGAAAGAATTACTGCATTTAGAAAATAAATTTGACTTGTGGCAATTATTTTTATAAGGCTAGAGTTTAAGTGAGAAACCTCCTGTAAGATTTTACTGCTGCTACATAATCAAGTAATTATGTAATTACTTGTACTTAATTACTTACAAGAGAGATGGTTGTTTAAAAAAAAAAATCCTTATACATGTCAAAAACAGCTTCCTTCTCTGGAATATTTCTAGCCAGGCTCCCAATATCAAAAAGTTCTTTCAATAGCAGGGGCCTATGACTACTTTTATTTTAGAAATCTTTCACTATTTTCTCCAAAGATATGAAGGTGCATCATATAGATATCTATGTCTTCTCTCTTGTTTCTACTTGTGATCAGAGAGAGGTGGGGGAGGGGGAGGAAAGGAGGAGGCAGGAGCAGGAAGAGGAGGGTGGAAGGAGAGGAGCAAGAGTGGAGAAGGAAAGCAAGAAGAAAGAAATTACTTTAAATTATACTTGAAAGTTAAATATAAGACATGATGTGCATCTGAGGAAGTTTCAGTGGGAAGAGTGAATTTCTCAAGGGAAGCAGGTTAGTTCCATGAGCATTCCAAACAAACATCGTGATTAAGAGCGTGGCCGTTAGTTGTGTCGCTGTGGCAGATGACTTTCCTTTGCACACCTCCATGTCTTCACTTGGAAGAAAGAAAAGACTTTTCCTGGCAGTAATTAAAACCTTCTGCCACTGCCAGAGCTGCTGCTGTTGGAACCACCATAGACACATGACTTTTGTGGTTTAGCAAATCCTGGCCTCTAACCCCAAAAGGGCCTGAACCCCTGCCTCCAAAGTTTCCTCCTTTTGTAGGTCCAAAATTTGAAGGCTGAATGTTGTAACTGCCCAAATAATTATAGCTCCCCCCACCTCCAAAATTATTTCCATCATCATTGAGTCCATTACAGGTGTCCCACCATCCCCATATCTACCTCAACCACCACAGCTGCCACCAAAGCCACCATGGCCACTGAAGCTTCTTCCATGATCAAAATTGTCATTGCCACCCAAACCACCTCTATAATCACCACCAAAGATTCTGGACCACTTTGACCTCTTTGGCCAGATGAAGCACTAGCCATCTACTGCTTCCACGAGGTTTTTCTTATTTCACAGTTGTGGCCATTCACAGTGTGGTATTTCTGAATGACAACCTTACCCATGGAGTCACGCTCATCAAAGGTCACAAAATAGAGCCCCTCTTCTTTATACTGTCTCTGTCAGTCATGATTTAAACCACTCTAATTTTCCCATACCACTTAAAATAATCTCACAGATGTTCTTCAGTGTCTTCCTTACTACCAACCACACAGATCTTTTTTTCAGTTAAGTGGGCACCTGGTGAATCTTCTCTGGATACAGCTCTCTTTGGCTCCACAACTCTTCCATCCACCTTGTGTGGCCTTGCATTGATGGCTTCATCCGACTCTTCCACAGTGGTGTAGGTGACAAATCCAAAATCCCTGGAGCATTTGGTGTCTGGATGTCTCATCACCACACTGCTGATGAGGAGTCCCCATTGTTCAACATGGCTCCTGAGTCTCATCCATTGTTTTGAAACTCAGTCCTCCATTGAAGAGCTTATGCAGCTGTTTGAGCTGCTTAGGAGACTCTGCCTTAGACATGACTGCAGGGAGATGAGAGTCTCCGGCAACGTTTCCCCTGCATCAGTGGACAGAGAGGAGAAAGCCAACAAACATATTCACAAGCCTTGCTTACAAGTCTGTCTGTGTCCCACTGCCTGCAAGAGCCGAGTTACTATATTTGTTTTAATAAGCATGCCACCAAATGATAGTGAGCAAAGAAGGAAGCCTTTTCCTTTTGTTTCCACATAGGACTTTTATTTTAAAATCTTTTAATTTTTTCTTTTATTAGTATTTCTCTATAGGACCAAACAATGGGTTTTATTGTGATATTTTCATACATTCGTATAAAATAGCTCGCTCACATTCTTCCTCTCCATTACCTTTTCTTGCCCCCTGCTTCCTTCTGCTATTCCTTTTGTTCTTCCCAAAGACTCTCCCTTCGGCATTTAGAGTCTAGGGAGAGGTGGTATGATGTTTGTCTTTGAATGTGGCTCATTTCTCTCGAACATGATGATCGCTAGATCATGCCACTTTTTTTCCAAATAATATCATTTATTCTTTATGAACGGATACTTCCCATTGTGGTGATGGAATCATACATTTTCTTTATCCATGTGATCACTTTCTCTTGGCACTTCAGTTAAGAATTTTAAAATTATTATTGCCTAATCTCACTGATCCTTTTGCTATCTGCAATCTAGTTATAAACCCATTAAGGAAGTTCTTCACGTACTTTATAGTTTTAAGTTTTTATTTCTAGCATTTAATTTTGGTTTATTGGTGGCTCTGTCTCTCCTTATGTATGTCACAATGATCTAGCACATGCGCACACCCTACCACTCACACTCCTGTTAGAATCCCCAACGATCCTGTAGATTCCATTCCATGCTAGTATGCTTATCTCCAAGCACCTCCTCCGGTCTACTCAGTCTCAGCATATCTGACTTAAATGGCTGAGACGCTGTTGTAATTATGTCATCCTCTCATTAAGGATATGTTATATTTCCATTATTTTTAAAAATCAAAGCCCATAACCTCCCAAGCCTCCTCTGATGGACCCCACAGTAACTATAGAAACATTTTGGACCAACCTGTCTATCTAGCTGTGTGTGTGTGTGTGTATGTGTGTGTGTGTGTGTGTGTATGCATATATGTGTACATATACACACATACATCACATATATATATTATATATGTATGTATATATTTAACTTGGCAAAGAATATGACCAAACAAGTTACAAATCAGTAATAAAATAGTTAGTCAACCATAAATGAGCAAACGAGCATCCAACCTAACTAGTCAGGAATGACATGCAATGTAACACTGTCAGTATTTATCTTTTTAAAAATTTACCCTCAGAGAATCTGAGCTATTCATAGGAAGATATCCTTATGTTATCTAGAAATCTGTCCCCAATGTGAAAGTAATATGACGTTCCGAAAACATACATTTCCAGTAGAGTTTTAAGTATATCTAAAGTGATTAAAACTCACATTATTCATAAATATTTTATGACCTAGAAATTTTGATACAATGCAGAGCAAGATGTATTTAAAATGCTGATCATGCCATGTATGTATGCATGTTACCGTTCTGATTTTTAATGTGTTCTACGTGTCAGGGATGAAGTAAAATGTTTACTGGGCTTATGTCAAATATTTTATATTCCTTATATTTTTCTATATTTAAAGGAATTATTATATTATAATACATCATTTAATAGAAGAATAGTTTTCTAAAATTCTCCTGCCCAGCTCTCGGAGGTCAGCTGAAAACCTCTTCATCCCCCAGCTTCCGTCTGAATACTCTGGTCCACATTGATCTTTCCCCTTTCTTTATTCACCCTGCTCTACCCGGCTTTCAAGTCCAGCTGCTCTTTTTATCTTATTCTTCTCTCTAGGCAATCACACTCCACCCACAGCTTCAGGAACTCCAGACACACAAAGTCAGGACTACAGTTCTCCAGAGATCTCCCCAAGGCATTTCAAACTCTGTTTGTTCAAAAGAAAAATCTTAATCTTTCCCGACAAGCTGATCCTTCTCCAGTCGTATAGATCGCAAGGAAAAACAGCGTCAGCTCTTCCGTCGTGCTAAGGCAAAGAACAGGGCCTTCCTTCACTCTTCGGTCTCTCTGTCCCTTGCATCCAGCTCATCATCTCAGCTCGGGGGTTTACTGTATAAAGAGTCCTTTCCTCTAAGTGTGCTAATGCCACCTTAGCCCAGGCTGGCAGAGGCTTTGGCCAATGATTAGTCTGCATAGAGTATGTGAGGTACTGCAGGTGCACAAGGCCAACGTTCCGCACACGTGAGTGACACTTGTTCTCAGCAATACCTCTGCCATAGCCTTTCCCAGACCTCGTCTTCTCTCCACTCTGAAGCCCGCGGAAACTTTTAGAAGTACTAATCTGATTAGCCCTCTTTTCTGCTTGTCTGGGTTTGTTTCTAATCCAGTCTCTGCCCTCGCTGTAGGCCAGACCCTTTTCAAGTGCAGACTGCTCCCTCTTGCCATGAAGCCTCGTTTCTTCTGCCTTCCGGGTCCATCCGGCCCTTGGTTCCCTCCCAGAAAAGTCTTGTTATTCTCTCAAAATTGACTCCAATCCCATTTTTCCTGACCTTCTAGAATAAATGGAATCTCTTCCTGGAATCAGATCACAGGTTATATTCGGACCCACTAGCTGCAAGTCATATATTTTTTTTTAGCTTGTACCTGGTGATCAACAAATTTGTTGTATATTTTAACATATTTTATCAATATGTTTATGGTACAAGTGAATGAAGTTGTCTAAAAAGGTAATAACTTGACTTTGTTAGGCTACTACTTATTTTCATTTTTATCCTAATCTGCCACTTAGCTCTTTTTGGACTACCTCTTCTCCTTCTGACGTATTCCGTGTTTTAACCAATCAAAGAATACTCTTGTTTCCTTGTGCAGAACTCTGTCTTGTGTTTTGAATTGGTTAGCCATGAGCTAAGATACTAAAGTCTTTATAGGGTAAGCATCCTGGAAAGAACACAGACCCTTGCAGTGGCCAATCACAATGCAGGTCTGTGTGAGCGTTTTCAAGAAGAACTGGTCCAGATATACAGGCACTGAGCGTTAGGACCAATCTGTTGATCATGAAGTCACATTTACATTCTGACTTGAGAGAAAACATTTCAGTGCAAATACCACAAGCATCAAATAATTGTCTCATCTTGCTGCAGGAAGGTTAGAGCCGCCCTGACTTCCTTTTCCATTTAGGTCTAATATTTAGGTCTGTTGTTTCCCCTGAGTTATGTTTACAATTTTTAAACACATTTATGACTGAGTTTACTGAATATCAAATAAAGATATTATGTTTAAGTCATGGGAAATTGAAATTAAAATATCAAAATTGAAAAGGCAATTTTTGTGTGTAAAAGAATGTGTATAAAACATTATAGATATAAGCCCATAGGCTCAAGATATCAAAGTTAAAGCTATTTTAACACACATAAAACATATTATTTCCATAGCCATAATACTGCCAGTTTATTACTGTTGACTCCCAAGTATGCATTGTATTCTGAATGTTTAATCTATATGCATGCATGGTTTTTGCTGATTCCACTGGGTTATGGGTTAGGAAGGAATGAACCAACCAATAGTCTAGAAATACCCTGTGAGTGCCTGCAGTGTGGTTGCCACTCTGGGATTTTTGCCTGCAGAAAAGCAGAACATCTTCATTCTCAATGAACTTCCAAACCATATATGTATGTATGTATGTATGTATGTATGTATGTATGTATGTATATATACCGACAGTAAGACGATATTGACATAGATGAGACAATAATTACTTCAAACTGCATTTGGGATGGAAATGACAGCATCTGTTACAAAAGGAACTCTAAAACTGTGGAGATGCTTCTTGTGTGCTCAGTGTCTGGGCAGCACATTGTTGGGTCAACAAGTATCTGTTAAATGAATAAATGACTGTGGCAAATTACATCACTCTACCTCTAATGTGAGACTCAAATGATAGAGAGACCTCCGAGGGCTGAGTGATGTTTTATTCTTTAGAAGAATTTATAACTGAATTTTGAAAATTTTAGGTGAAGAAAATAGAACCCACAGCCATCCGTTCATTCATTCACGTAAGAATGTTAATAAGATCTACTAAGAGCAAAGTACAGTGCCACAAGGGGCAGGGACCATTCATGAGGCAATTGTTGTAGTGAATATTATCTTCAGAAGAATGCAACAAATTGAGTGCCAGTCATTATAGGTGACCAGATTATGGAAGGCCTTAAAAAAAGACAATAATTTAGAATAAAAAATCCCCATTGAAAGTTGTATGTGCATGTGTTTTCATGTGTGTGATTAAGGGTGGTTTGGTCTTATGAGTGAAGTAATACAATGCAAGGATTTATTTTGGGAAGTTTGGTTTGGAAGTGATATGTAGGGTTATAGTAAACACACTGTTGTCTCCAGTTTCCTTTAAAGTTTTGCGATGGGGTTTTCATAAATTTCCACAAGAACGTCTAATGGCCTTTTGAGTAAGAACTCTTCCTTGTGCATTTGTGTTAGTCAGGTTTTGTTTTGTGGCGCTGAGAAAATCAAAGGAGGCAAGATTCATTTTGGCTCATGGGTTTGAGGGCTAGTTTATGGTTAGACAACTTCATTGTTCCTGAGCCTGTAGTGAAGCAAAGACCCAATGGTGGAAGACTGTGACAGAGCAAAGCTGCTTGCCTGTGTTAACCAGGTTCTAGAGAGAACAAGGGGAGCCCAGTGGCAGAGCCCCCAAGGGTATATCCCCAAGAACTCCCTCCCTTCAACTAAGTCTCACCTCCCAAGGTTTTATCACCTCCCAAGGACCCATCACTGAGTTCTGAACCTATCGGTGTCAGTCAGAGATCACAGTCCCGTTGACTGAATAGTGACCTGGTGTCCCAGCTCTGAACTCACCTCTGTGTTAAGGATCAGCCTTTCCACATATGGTTATGACAGGATTTCACTTGCTGTTCCTTGATGCAATGAATTCCATTTCTTGAATTTGGAATTGTGGAAATAGAGGGGTTTTCATTGGCCCAGTCAAAGTAATTTTTCAATTGTTATTGAAAGGAAGTACTTTTCACTTGGCCAAGTGTTTTCAACTCCCTTGGCTTAAATTTTAAAGATCATTCTACAATAAACTTTAATGATATTTATATGTGATTAGATGAATCCATGAGCCCTGATTTCTCCCTTTTCTTTTAGTCTTCAGCAAGAATAGCTATGACAGTTACTCCTGGATATTAAAGGTCTATAAGCTACTAAAATAATCCATTTTGAAAGCATTTTTGCATGTAAGTCCATCTTGTTCAATTCAGGATAAAGGCATTTGAATGTGATAGAGAGCAAAATATCTTATATTCTCTTTATCCCTCATCTCCTCTCTGTCGTCTTTATCTATGTTACCTTTGTTGGTTCTTCTTTTTCTTTTCTTTTTTTTTATTAAGAAATTTTTTGTTCATTCCACATTCCAACCACAGAAGATCCCTTCCTCATCCCTCCTCCCACTCCCCCATCCTCATGTTCTAAAAAGTATGGCCTCCCATAGGGAGTCAGCAGAGCCCTGCACATTCAGCTGAGGCAGGTCCCAGGCCCCTCCCCCTGCATCAAGGCTGTGCAAGGTATCCCATCACAGGCAATGGGCTCCAAAAAGCCAGTTCATGTACCATGGATAGATCCTATTCCCATTGTCAGGGGCCCCTCAAACAGACCAAGCTACACAACTGTCTCACCCATGCAGAGGGCCCAGTCCAGTCCCATGCAGGCTCTACAGCTGTCGGTCCAAAGTTCTTGAGTTCCCAATAGCTTAGTTCAGTTGTCTCTGTAGGTTTCTCTATCATGGTCTTGATGCCCCTTGCTCATAGAATCCCTGTTCTCTCTCTTTGACTGAACTTCTGGAGCTCGGCCTGGTGCTTGGCCACGGCTCTCTGCATCTGCTTCCATCAGTTACTGGATGAAGGCTCTATGATGACAGTTAGGGCATTCACCAATCTGATCACTGGAGTAGGCCAACTCATGCACCACCTCCACCACTACTACTAGTCTAAGCTGGGGTCATCCCTGTGGGTTCCTGGGAACTTCCCTTGCAACAGATTTCTCCATATCCCCATGATGTCTCCCTCTATAGATATCTCTCCCTCATTGCTCTCCCACTCCACCTCTGTTCCAGCTCAACCATCCCCTTCCCCCATGCTCCCATCCCCCATCCCCTACCCTCCATTGCCCCCCCAAACACCCCTAGTTTACTCAGGAGATCTCATCTATTTCCCCTTCCCAGGGTGATCCATGTGTCCCTCTTAGGGTCCTCCTTGTTAGCTAGCTTCTCTGGAGCTGTGGGTTGTAGTCTGGTTATCCTTTGCTTTGCTTCTTAGTATCCACTTACGAGTGAGTACATACCTTGTTTGTCCTTCTGAGTCTGAGTTTCCTCACTCAGGATGTTCTTACAACTCTTGTCTTTCCCAAGGATGGGAATGGGGGAAAAGAAGTTGCAGCAATGCATATCCAGAGAGGAATCTCCTCTTTTCTAGGACACCTCTTGCTGAGGTCAAAAAGAGTCAACTGGAAGTCACAAGCTTCATGTGCAGAAACAAGGACCAAAGCACATCAGCTAAGGCTGCTAGGCGACTCCTGCCCACTGCACGGTGCTTCCTGAAGCATCTTTCCTGGATCTTTACTTCCTGCATCACCCCCTACCAGGGACCTCAACCCAATTAAAGAGCTCAGTGTTAGGCTGAAATAATCAAGACTGGGGAAAGGGCTAGATGGGAATTCAGGCAGCTTTGCATTTTAAAAAACATTTTTGTAAGATCACTAATCTACCTAATCCCAAACTGAAGACATTGAAACTGTTTTAACTGATAAAGCAAACCCGGAGAATCCGAGAGGCCCCACTCACGCCTTTTTGCTTCCTTCTTCTCTTGCGCTATGGTTAGAAAGAACCCACTTCAAATACAGAAAGGAGGCCAATTTTCAAAATGCAATTCCCCCATTTTTTCCTTAGCGGCACTCATACAGAAGCAGTGGCAAAATAAACAGCGATGTGTTGGATTGTGTCTCTCTTTATCTCTGTGACATTTGTGTCAACGCCACCGTAGCTCTGATCCATATTCAGGTCTTCATGTTTGGTGTGCAGTAATATGTAAATGATCTCGCCAGCTGCATGGAGCAGTGCTTGTTTATTCTATTCCTTTTGGCCCTGCACAGAACTGAATCTCTGCCAAAACGGGGCTGCTTCAGGGAGCCTTGATGCTCCGGGAGGAAGTTTTGAAAGGGAACGCACATCATAAGTCTTCACTCTGTGAAGCAGAGAAATCAAAACAAACTTTCTGTTGACTAAAATATCGGTATTATGAATGTAAAATAATGTGTTTGTTAAAATATAATGAGCACGCTGCCCGTCTCCAGGATGTGTGGCGGCGTATGTGGGCTTCGGAAATGAGGGCGCGGTGCTGAGAAAGCTGGAACATTTTGATTCTTGGAAAGAAAGTAGGTGAAATGAGATAGACAGAAACAACATCTAGAAATTTAAGGAAGAAAGAAATGTTTTAGCATCCATATTAATCTTTGGAAACACATGGCATATACATGCATTTAAATGTGGACAGCTGTGGCGTTTAAGTGTTAAAAAATTTCATTAATGATGCATAGAGCTATCTACTTCTGTTGGCAGGCCTTTCAGTCTTCAATCTGACACCTCCTTTTTTATCCAGCAAGCTAATTTCCCCTCTTTTGTGAGGAGTAACTGTTTTCACACTACTGCTTGCCCAGCAAGCCTCCGTATTGTTTCATGGCTAATTATCTTCTCTGGCTTCACCTTCCCCAGCGAGGAGAGCAAGACAGTTCCTCCCAGCACTAATGAAAGCTAGGTTTTATGGGTACACTGGGTAAATAAATGTAAGTTCTGATCAGGCAACATCATAAATGAGTTCCTAAAGTTTACAGAGTCACAACTCATCTAGCCCTTTGCTAAAGAATGAAGCAACGTGATTAATTTGGCTTAGGGATGGGGGTGGGGTGGGGTGGGGGGACTTTAGATTTGCAGGAGAAAAGTAAAGGTTTTGTCAGTTTGATATGCCAGCTATCTGCAGGTAAACACAAGGAATATATATTGATCTGGATGCCCCTGGTGGTCCCTAATGCATCTGCATAGAGAACATCTTACAGAGAAGTCCTTTGAAAAAATATAGCTGATCTGGTAAGAGATGGACATCATCTGGGGTTCTATTTTTCTGATTACTTCCAATTTATTAATAGAAAAAAAAACAACCACCAGGATTTGTATAACAGAAAATGCTCTCTCTCCATCACACTTGAGTGCAAGTCCAGCAGAGACACCAGTCACAGAGGGCTGCATGGCAAGGGCCTTGAGGGACTGAATCCAGCAGGTTAGGTGTAGGTAATTAGCCCAGCTGGCTGCTCAGGGTATTGCTTATCTCTACTATAAACTCAGTGTATTCTCTAAGTGGCCCTCATAAGGAGGTTTTGAGCACCTAGATTGGTTTCGAGCACCCTTCAAAAGGTTTAGAGCACCTAGATATATTTAGCCAAGAAGAGGGGATTAAATGCACCCTAACCCCTAAAAATTGCATTTTATTTTTCATTTCCAAAATAAATTTATATGTAAGGTCATTTTCTCTGGATTTAAATTTATATTTCTTTCCTGTGGAAATCTGTGCTTTGTGCCACAATTTGGAGTGCTGACAGGAGGGTTGTATCAGCCAGTCTTTCTTTGCTGACCGAACACTGGGAAAAACTTAAGGGAGCAGGGATTTGTGTTGGCCCACAGCTTCAGAGGTTTTAGATCAGATGTAATTGGCTCCATTCCTCATGGGTCCACGTGAGACTGAGCATCAAGACTGGGAGCCTCTGGTAGAGCAAAGTGACTAACTTCGTGGAAGGCAGGAAGTGGAGAGAAAAAGACGTTAAGGAGCCAGGGACAAGATACACTCTTCAGAAGCACACCCACAGTGACTTACTCCCAGCAAAGAGGCTCTGCCTCCTAATAGCCATCCCAGTGTGTCACCCCAATGAAGATAGCATCCCCATGACACATTTACTTCCCTCTCCCCCCCACCCCACACCAGCTGGGGACTGAGCCCTCAACACTTGGACTTTTTTCTATCCAAACCCCAAGACCCAGGACCACTGCTTTTGTTCTAATCAAGCTGGGTTTTAAAATACATTAGGATTGCAGAAACTTTAGTGTTTTCCCCTTAAAATCTCAAATATAATTCTACATTTTTAATCCATCTAAAGATTCTGTATTATGAATCAGAAGTATAAGGTCTCTTGGAAACCTTTTTCAAAAACATTTATTACCTGCTAGGAACATTCATCCTGAACTTTTGAGCAACTGTCCCAACATCCATTGTAGTTTAAAAATCTTCTAGTTGTTTTTGTGGAGGGAACAGTAACATCTCAGGGAGGTACCCTTGCCACTCTGAGTGAGACATTCTAGTCCCCTCTGAGTAAGAAAGCAAAGATATAAATCAAATGAGGTATAATGAGAAGTAGATAAAAGGGTTAACCTAGGTCAAGAAAATGAGTCACCAGCTGACCTGTGTAGCAGGAATCTTAAAAGTTCTCATTAATAAAATCAAACCTGAGGCCAGTTATTGGGGTGAACACTGGATGGTCAGAGAGACAGAACAAGCCACAGCTATCTCACCTGGCCAACTTCTCAGCTGGTCTTGTTTCCTCAGACTGGAAGCTTCTTTGTCTTCATCCCAATGGCTCTCAGCTGAACTGCTGCTCAAAAGCCTGAAGCTTAACCAGCTAAAAGCTTCTAGTTTCTGGTCCTCACACCTTATATACCTTTCTGCTTTCTACCACCACTCCCTGGGATTAAAGCCTCGCTTTCTGGAATTAAAGGCGTGAGTCACCATGCTTGTCTGTATCCTTGAACACATGGATCTCTGCCTCTGGAATGCTAGGATTAAAGGCGTGTGCTACCACTGCCTATCCTAAGTATCTAGTGGCTTTTCTGTTCTCTGACCCCAGGTAAGTTTATTAGGGTACACAATATTTTGGGGAACACAATACCACCACATACCTGTCTATTAACCTTCAACCTTGAGCCAATCAGATTAGGAATGTGGGGAAACACTTTTAGTTGACTAGTCCAGGTAAGATGGAGCAGAGTCAAAATAGCAGGTTATTTATTAAATATGATAGGATGGATTTCAATGACTCACCTACACTGCCAACACTACATTCTTATTTTTCTCTCTGAATGATGCATTTTAGTCATTCACTTAGAATTTGAGAAAAAAGAAAGTCATACCCTGATGATCCAAGAGGAGTAAGTAATTAAAAACAGTGATGTCACCATGCTGGCTCCCCCTGCATACCCTCCTTCATGGAAATAAACAGAAACAAAGTTCTCTCAATGAATATGGTAGGCCTTCCCCTCTTGTTTCCTGGGAATATGTTCCAAGACCCGTCACAGATGCCTGAAACCGTGGCTGCTAAGCGCTGTGTGTTTTAATATTGTGTTGTTTACCTATATATGCACCTTTCCCTTTTTAACTAAACACTGATTGCACACTGTAGCTGCAGCTTTTGCTACTGAGCTTTTAAAGCAAAACTAGCACAAATTGCCTCTTCCTTGGCAATTTCAGAGTTAGAGGATTGATTCTGATAGTACGTCTTGGCAACCTCCATGTGTGCAGCTTTGCTTTTCCTTTCCTCGCTGAGAATGTTCACCTTGTAATTGAACAAAGCACTCTACCCCTTCTCTTCAGCAAATTCACAATGCCAGTGTCAATACTCTTGTGACATGAGGTTCTTATAAACTAATAACACAGGAGTTAGTTATTTGAACATAGAAACTGAGGTAGTGAAGGTGTCTACTACATTATATACAGGTGGGTAGCTCATACACAGTGGATACGTTGGACAGATGGATGGTTCATATCAAGGTAGACTGGGGCAGGGTAGAGTGAGATTTACTGTGATACTCAGAAAGGTGTTCAATTTACATTTTATGAACTGTTTATATCTAGAATTTCCCATTTAATATCTTCAGGCCTCAGTTGATGTTGAATTGCTGAAACCATGGACAATAAACCTGCAGAAGGGAAAACAACTATGTGTACTTTGTAAAGGGCAGATGGGGGGCAAAAGTGAACTCTGTGTGTTACTCGATGAGCAGCTTTTCAGGAGGACACCTGTGCATGGACAAGGGTTTCCTTGTATCTTATGCTACTTCTAGATCATTCTAAGGATTTCATGTTATCATTCTAAGATTTTTTTTTTTTTTTTTTTTTTTTTTTTTTTTTTGGTTTTTCGAGACAGGGTTTCTCTGTGTAGCTTTGCGCCTTTCCTGGGACTCACTTGGTAGCCCAGGCTGGCCTCGAACTCACAGAGATCCGCCTGCCTCTGCCTCCCGAGTGCTGGGATTAAAGGCGTGCGCCACCACCGCCCGGCTCATTCTAAGATTTTTAAGTCCTGACACTAAAAATGCAAATACCAAACAGCTGGAATAAGCCAGAAAAATGGGGTGTAATGTTATCTTTGAGGGGAGCTCCCTTATCCAGCTGGCATGTGGGTCTGCTGTCCTTAGATTTTTCTGCGCAGTAGGTAAAGTCCGCACCGCTCTTCCACTCCATTTGGAATGTCTACCGTTTCACTGAAGTTATTTTTCTTTTGAACTTCCTGTTAGTTATTTCAGGTCTACATAATCCTGAAGAGGTAGGAAAAAAAGAAATTCTTTAATTAAAAAAAACTCCCCAGTTAATTTTTTATTAACTTTTAAACAGTTGTAGCTTTGGTACTGTCGTGGAATTCTGGGATAGTGACTGAGAGGAGAAAAATAAACCCCTTTCCTATTGAGTCTCTTCTGAGGGGAGTGAAACATTCCAGTTGTTTGTCTACAAAGCCAGGGCCAAGACAAAATAGTTTGTTTACTGGTAGAAATGGGTAGTTCTGTAGTTTCTTCTAGGACAATATTCAAAGTTAGATGAGAAAGTAATTCTGCCCTGCAGTGGAGGTTACCAGTAAAGGACCTGGGAGCTGAGCACGATGCTGTGGGTGTCCGTGGTCTTAGCCGCTCGGGAGGCTGAGGTGAGATGATTCCTTGAGCTTGGAAACACCGTGGCCAAAACAGTGACAGAGAAAACAAGGGCGAACTATGAAAAGCTATTTCTATAAGAATTAAGAAAAACGAGATTGGTGCAAGCATTGATTTATTTCTACCCAGCTTTAATATTACCAACACTGAAGTTAGAAACTTAAGATTTATGTATAAATTATGAACTCATCTAAAGGTCCCTAATGTATTGGCACAAATACATTACTTCGCTACAAAAACATCATTTCTTTATATGCAAGCCCTCTGATAGCATATTTATAGGTGTTTGTTTATTTTCTCCACACACAGTTTTTACTTCCAGGATACCAGCTCGGTGTCCTTTAACACAGTTCTGACACTTTCTAGGTGGAGTTGGCACTGGATCTCATGAGGGAAAGGGCACAGTCTCAGAGGACTGTCCGACTTCAGATGCCAACTCTACCTCCTGC